GATTCCAACTCAATGTGTTGTGTTGTAGGCCTGGACCAAGTTTGATTGATGTAGGCCTACACACAACGGAAATAGGGTATGTTGTGAGTGGAGTGCTCAATACACCGTTATTATGACCAAATTCAATACATTGCAGGGCCTGGACTGGCCATTGATAAAGATACAGCGGGCAACGTTTGGATTGTCACTGAGGGTATTACTGGCAAGCTGTGGACAAAGTCTGACCTGTATAGGGCTAAGAATAACAAAGTTAGGGTCCTGCAGTGAGGCAATTACCCAAGATCAGAGTATTTAGTGCAGTATAGAGAACAGACATATCACCCCCTGACTTGATCAATACTCATCCGATCACATAAATCTTTTGGATTCCAACTCAATGTGTTTTGTTGTAAGGCTGGACCAGGTTTGATAGATGTAGACCTACACATAACGGAAATAGGGTATGTTGTGAGTGCAGTGCTCAATACACCGTTATTATGACCAAATTCAATACATTGCAGGGCCTGGACTGGCCATTGGTGAAGATACAGCGGGCAACGTTTGGATTGTCAATGAGGGTAGTACTGGCAAGCTGTGGACAAAGTCTGACCTGTATACGGCTAAGAATAACAAAGTTAGGGTCCTGCAGTGAGGCAATTACCCAAGATCACAGTATTTAGTGCAGTATAGAGAACAGACGTATCACCCCCTGACTTGATCAATACTCATCCGATTACATACATCTTTTGGATTCCAACTCAATGTGTTTTGTTGCAGGGCTGGACCAAGTTTGATTGATTTAGACCTACACATAACGGAAATAGGGTATGTTGTGAGTGGAGTGCTCAATACACCGTTATTATGACCAAATTCAATACATTGCAGGGCCTGGACTGGCCATTGATAAAGATACAGCAGGCAACGTTTGGATTGTCACTGAGGGTATTACTGGCAATCTGTGGACAAAGTCTGACCTGTATAGGGCTAAGAATAACAAAGTTAGGGTCCTGCTGTGAGGCAATTACCCAAGATCACAGTATTTAGTACAGTATAGAGAACAGACATATCACCCCCTGACTTGATCAATACTCATCCGATTACATACATTTTTTGGATTCCAACTCAATGTGTTGTGTTGCAGGGCTGGACCAAGTGTGATTGATGTAGACCTACACATAACGGAAATAGGGTATGTTGTGAGTGGAGTGCTCAATACACCGTTATTATGACCAAATTCAATACATTGCAGGGCCTGGACTGGCCATTGATAAAGATACAGCGGGCAACGTTTGGATTGTCATTGAGGGTAGTACTGGCAAGCTGTGGACAAAGTCTGACCTGTATAGGGCTAAGAATAACAAAGTTAGGGTCCTGCAGTGAGGCAATTACCCAAGATCACAGTATTTAGTGCAGTATAGAGAACAGACATATCACCCCCTGACTTGATCAATACTAGTCCGATTACATAAATCTTTTGGTTTCCAACTCAATGTGTTGTGTTGTAGGCCTGGACCAAGTATGATTGATGTAGGCCTACACACAACGGAAATAGGGTATGTTGTGAGTGGAGTGGTCAATACACCGTTATTATGACCAAATTCAATACATTGCAGGGCCTGGACTGGCCATTGATAAAGATACAGCAGGCAACGTTTGGATTGTCACTGAGGGTATTACTGGCAAGCTGTGGACAAAGTCTGACCTGTATAGGGCTAAGAATAACAAAGTTAGGGTCCTGCAGTGAGGCAATTACCCAAGATCACAGTATTTAGTGCAGTATAGAGAACGGACATATCACCCTCTGACTTGATCAATACTCATCCGATTACATACATCTTTTGGATTCCAACTCAATGTGTTGTGTTGCAGGGCTGGACCAAGTTTAATTTATTTAGGGCTACACACATCGGAAATAGGGTATGTTGTGTGTGGAGTGCTCAATACACCGTTATTATGACCAAATTCAATACATTGCAGGGCCTGGACTGGCCATTGATAAACATACAGCGGGCAACGTTTGGATTGTCACTGAGGGTATTACTGGCAAGCTGTGGACAAAGTCTGACCTGTAAAGGGCTAAGAATAACAAAGTTAGGGTCCTGCAGTGAGGCAATTACCCAAGATCACAGTATTTAGTGCAGTATAGAGAACAGACATATCACCCCCTGACTTGATCAATACTCATCCGATTACATAAATCGTTTGGATTCCAACTCAATGTGTTTTGTTGTAAGGCTGGACCAAGTGTGATAGATGTAGGCCTACACATAACGGAAATAGGGTATGTTGTGAGTGGAGTGCCCAATACAGTCAACTTCGCTTATAACGACATTCGGCGGGGCATCAAAAAAGTGTCCTTATTCGCGAAGTGTCGTTATACCCAAAGTCTCATTTTATGTATTACAGTTGGAAGGGACTTTGCTCTGGGCATGGAAATGCTGTCGTTATTCGCGAATTGTCGTTATATCCGCAGTCGTTATTAGCGAAGTTGACTGTACACCGTTATTATGACCAAATTCAATACATTGCAGGGCCTGGACTGGCCATTGGTGAAGATACAGCGGGCAACGTTTGGATTGTCACTGAGGGTAGTACTGGCAAGCTGTGGAAAAAGTCTGACTTGTATAGGGCTAAGAATAACAAAGGTAGGGTCCTGCAGTGAGGCAATTACCCAAGATCACAGTATTTAGTGCAGTATAGAGAACAGACATACTCATCCGATTACATAAATCTTTTGGATTCCAACTCAATGTGTTTTGTTGTAAGGCTGGACCAAGTGTGATAGATGTAGGCCTACACACAACGGAAATAGGGTATGTTGTGAGTGGAGTGCTCAATACACCGTTATTATGACCAAATTCAATACATTGCAGGGCCTGGACTGGCCATTGGTAAAGATACAGCGGGCAACGTTTGAATTGTCACTGAGGGTAGTACTGGCAAGCTGTGGACAAAGTCTGACCTGTATAGGGCTAAGAATAACAAAGTTAGGGTCCTGCAGTGAGGCAATTACCCAAGATCACAGTACTTAGTGCAGTATACAGTACAGAGATATCACCCCATAACGTGATCAATACTCATCCGAATACATACATAATTTGGATTCCACCTCAGTATATAGTGTTCCAGTGCTGGACCAAGTTCAATTGATGTATTCCTACACATGGCGGAAATAGGGTGTTGTGAATTGAGTATGCATTTCGCTGTTGGTGTGACAAAATTCAATATATTGCAGGGCCTACATTGGTCATTGGTAAAGGTACTGAGGCCTGCGCCTGGATTCCAGCTCAGCATAGTATTGGTAAACTGTGGACATCGTTTGAGCTGTATAGGACTAATATTAACAAAGTTAGAGTCTCGCAATGAGACAATTACAAAGAACACAGTATTTAATGCATTATACAATACTACCAAGCCATACTGTCCTGCCACACATGACAATCCATGATAACAATTTACATTACACGAATCCATCATCACATACACCCGTGCCACACTCCACAGCTACAATACAATCATATGGCCAGTTCCTTACAACAATCCAGCTCTTCTACACACACTCATCATTCCTCATTTCACCCACTCCCTCTGAAGTCTCCCACCCCGCCCGCTACTCTTTCTTTTTTTTCTTCGTGTGATTTAATACCTTACCACTAGTACCGCCTTGCGTTTTCGTTCTATTCGCTGCTATGTGTGATTGTACATGTCGCCTCTTACTTTTCCTTCGCATGTGGACATGCGCCCGCAAAGGGGAGAGCTGTGTTAGGGTAGAAATGCATATGTAATAGGTCGCCGAGTGGTATCAGGAGGCACACACAAGAAGACTGGTTAATATTATGTTCTTCGGCTCAATCTGCCTGAAGTTATGTATACAACTGCTCCGGCTCAATCTGCCTGGAGGGACTCGGAAAGGAATACAACTGCTCCGGCTCAATCTGCCAGGAGGGACTCTGTTCTGTTCTGTTCTGTTATGTTCTGTTATGTTATGTTATAAAGAAATGAGTAAAGCATGGCAGCTTTTATAGGGCGAAAAGGAAGGAGATCATCATACTATTCATAGAGTCTGCATGAGCCATGAGTCATGAAAAAGGGCAGAAGTCTGTTGTGTCAGTCCAAACAGAACTTGGGAAGGCATAGCAACAGTATCTAAATGTATAAGGATGAAAGAAGCAAACGGAACTTTGGAGGAGAACAGAGGCCAGGGAGGGCATTAGCAAATGGATGCAAACAGGATCTAGAAAGGGTCATGACTGTCCGCATGACCTCAGTCAGGGTCAGGGAGGTACAGTACAACATGTGGGTGTTAGTTCTACATGTACATACAGGTACATACAGGTGTGATGATCTAAACTAGCAAAGATAATTATGTAGTATGCAATCCAGCAAGCGCAAGAGAAACAAGTGGTGAGAAGTGATATAATTAGCTTTGCAGGCTTGTCAGCAAAGGAGTGACAAGAGTCATTCAGTGCATGTACGTGTACATGTGACATGATTAGAGGTAAAAATAGATGTAGATGTAGTAGTCAGCTACAGTTCAGTACTAGCAAGTCAGGGATACTACACATACATTATAATTATTATGACATGTACATGACTTGATTGCGACTACTAGTACATGTAGTAGTACAATGCACGTACATGTAAACGTAAGACTCGTCATAAGCTATAATTAGATCTCCCATGCTTGTAACCTTGTTGTCAGCACTTCTTGAACTAGTACTTCTACCACTTCCTTTTAGTTAGTCAATCACGTCGTTGATTTCGGACTGTTCCATGCCTTCCAAGTAATATGCCCGATGAGTAATGTTGCTGACTAAATTGCATAATATAGATATCTCACCTTCTAGAATACCTCGCTTAGTCATTATGTTAATGTTACGCAATGCTCACTTCATCTACATGTATAGCAATGATGATCTAGGTTTACCTTCTCCGCTATTCTAGAACTTGTAGAAGGATGATTTCGTAATCCTCGTCTTACCACCAACCTTAGTTCTTTACCTTCGCTATAAAAGCTGCTGCCTTTCTAGTTTCCTGCAGACCAGTTCCCTGGAGATTAGTTTCATGCTAGACTACAGTGTATTACCTGAGAACGCTTTCTCTCTCTCTCTGAATAAGTGTGCAATTCTGTATGATAACCATTATCCATTACTGTGCCCTCGTGCTCTGCCGACTGAGTGAAACCGGGACTTGACAGTTTTGAGCTTGTTCTCGACCAGTGTAGCTGTTGCAGACGTGTATCTACAACCGATTGGCATTTAGAGGTGAGCACTGGGTATTTTGACTGCGTTAAGTACCGGCAAGTTACCTTTGTATTATGAAATCCAATCCCTTTATTGGCTGGCCTATACATTGATCTAACACCGATGTTCGATGGGGTAGGCATTTTGAAATTATCGTAACTTGGTCAAATCTTGGTCTTTCGGAGAGATCGAAATATGTAGGTCGAAGAGAAAACTCTCAGCTGTCGCCTCGAACAATTTCCAAAGCGATACAAAGAGCGGTTCGTGAGTTATAGCACTCGTAATATTGGTCCCGGGAAATTTGTGCTCAGAGTGCGATGCGTGGGTCAACGGCCGGGATTTTCCCTGCTTGCGTCACCTGTTGACAAGGCTACACCGATTCAACTTCAAAAGCAGGTTCCCGGGAGTGTCGACGAAATTTTTCGGTCTGATACGAGCAACAGGAGTGAAATGGTGGATAGAGATAGATCTCGAGCGTGAGCCCAGCGCTGGTGGGCCTTCCCTGGCTTGCAGCGCTGGGCCAGTGCATCCCGTGGAGTCGAGTGTAGGCTCATTGCGCTCCTCTCGTCAAGGCCTTTACAGGATGCCCAAGATCGTGGAATTTGTCCAGTGCAAACTAAAGTTACGTCCAATTTAGTTACAGGTTTGGCGATTGTGTGGGCTTGTTTATATTTTAATCGGCCAATAAAGGGTTAATTTAGAACGATACCAATAACTCACAACGAGGCCACATTTTGTATGTGCAAGTTATGTTTTCTTGGAAGTCTAGTACTACTTCTTGACCATGGAAAAATTTATTTTCTCATACCACACACATACGCTGCTAAATTGGCACCTCTACGTCTAAACACGGAAATTGTACACATGCAAATCGTCAGAGTTCCGACATTGACATGATACTGCCAAAACAAGTCGACTTCGGAGCGGAAACAAACGCCATAGCCATCACAAACTTTAGTGGCCATGCCTCGCTCGCAAATGAGAGCAGCATCACCCCAGAATCGCTGTCGGAAAGCTCCGTAAGGTCGCACGCAAGCCGCGCTGCGCTGCCGTCACTCAGGTACGTAGAAAGTCGATGGGCTAAAATCCCGTCTCTGGGAGACTGTCGACACAGGGATCGCTCTCCATGGCTTCCCCACCATAAGCACCATCAGATTCTTCCAGGTACATCACGATGACATCGTCTTCAGCGGCTGGCGCTCCCCATATTTGCGTGAAAATTTACGTGGCGTGCGCACCGCTCCGTAATTTGAAATTCGCTTGCATCGGAGGCTGGAACGAAGTATTTATCTATCTGTCGTCGGTCCCAGAGCGAATGACTGCTAGGTCGTCGTCGGAGAAGTCATCCGAGGACGAAAGGAACTCACTGCGCAAGAGAAAATGCACCTGACGATGTTTTGACGGAGGCGGACGGCATTGTCGGCGCACGTGTATTTCCGTAAGTTTTCGATCGCGCAGTTCTCAATGAAATCAAATGGGACACGCGTGGATCTCTTCAGCTACCGAAAGGATCGGGCCTAGGCTGTTTGAGGGCCATGGGAAATCCCCGTGGGCTGATGCTTCCCGTCATGCCAGGCATGGTTTTGTATGCCTGTCGAATGCGTCAACGTTGACGCATTCAAGTATGGGGCTGCCGGTAAAGGGAACTGCTCTGATGGGCCATTCAGAAACTTTTTTCATTTTGGCAAAAAAGAAAATTCTCGAGCACACTGAGAATAATCTTACGATGCCTATAACTTGGTGGGATGTTCTTGTGAAGACTAAACATAATAATATATTAGAAGAATAGTTTATAGCAAACTAGAGCTGTTTATCTGCCTTCTATGGTCTGTTATGAGCACTTGATGAAAATTTCAGTTTTCCCGCTAATATTCTTTGCCAAAATCAATATTGTTAATAACTCCGGTTGCACTAGGGGTACATATTCGAACGATAGCTAAAAATGTTCATACCTGTTCCAAGATCATTATAAAACAAACTGCAGCAGTTTTGGTCGTACAGTACATGCAGTATATGTTCAGAGATATTAATTTTTCCAAAAAAAAGAAAATTCTCGAGCACAGAATAATCTTACGATGCCAAAAAAAAAAGTTCTGCTAATTATGTAATAGATAATAAGAAGAATATTTTACAGCAAACTAGAGCTGTTTATCTGCCTTCTAATTCTATGGTCTGTTTCGAGCACTTGATTTTCAGTTTTCGCTGATATTTTTTGCCAAAATCAATATGTTTAATAACTCCGGTTGTACTAGGGGTACATATTCGAACGATAGCTCAACATGTTCATACCTGTTCCAAGATCATTATAAAACAAACCGCACCAGTTTTGGTTGTATATGTTCGGAGATATTAATTTTGCCCAAAAAAAGAAAATTCTCGAGCACAGAATAATCTTACGATGCCAAAAAAAAGAAAAAAAATTCTGTTTATTATTTAGTAGATACAGGTCCTCCCTCGTTAGTAGATAATCTCTGGGCCATCGAAAAAGTTATCTTATAACGAGACTCATCTTGTACGAGGACTTGCAGCTAAAGGTGAAATAGGCACTACTTCGTACTTACCGGGGCTACCCTAGGCCTCGGCGGGTAATGCTAGTTATTTCAGCTCAAAATGCTTTTAGCATTGCCAGTTATTCGGTCATATAATGCTCGTTAGAATGCTAATTTGGACTTGTAATGCTAGTTGAAAAGGCAATGTGAACCACTCATATGGCATTGTGTCATAATGTAAGTCACACTGCACGGAATACTGCTATTGGAAGTACATGTACCTAGTACTTTGAAAGTAGATTATGGTGATGCTATTTCAAAATGATGTGGAACTGAAGTTGCTATCATGAACTAGCAGTGATTAACAGTAAATCAGAACCCTACGTCGACAGTCTTCAAAGTATTTTGAGGGTGCATACGGAATGCTATTTTGGAAATTTAGTATATTGTGTGGTATGAAAAAGTGCAATATAAGTGGGTCCCGTCATTCGCGATTTAGGTGAATCAGTTCGCATTTGGGAGGACAATGCGCCAGTTCTAATTTCTTACTTTTACGACGGGGCTGCACCAGTAGAGGTTTTTCAGCGATTTTTAACTCTCGATATGCTTGCTCCGTTGGCTTTGGGCAGTCGTGCGCATGCCTCACCGGGCTCATCCTCTACCTCTGCCTCGCTCTTATCTTCCTTTTTATCCTCCTCTGTCTCGTACTCGTCTTCCTCACTCTCTTCCTCCGACGAATCAGAGACTTCCAACACATTTCAATTTGATGTACTCATGGTGCAAGCAAGCCAGCACTGCATGACTCTGTGAATAGGAAAGACAAGGTTTCTTTCCGTTTCCCATGATGGCATCAACGTGGTACGTCTATACCTAGCAGCTGCCACTAAGATTCGCAACAAGAGACGCATGTTGCGAAGTCGCAGGCTAACGTTAAGCAAAACTGCCAAAAGCCGCTGGTACAAAGTACAGTGTGTACGTTACATTGTAGACCTCCTGTTTTATTCAGTAATGCACACTCATGAAGTGAGAAAATGACACTTTTGGGCGCTAATGCTTGTTTTGGCTCCAAATCCGGGTACAATGCTGGAGCATTGCTAGTTATCAAAACGATGCTCGTAATGCCAGTTACAATGCTAGCATTACCCGCCGAGAACTAGGCTACCCTCGATACAACATAAATTATCAATGCTTCGTTATAAGATAATTGAAAATCTCCAAGTTACTCCAACATAACTCTTCCTTGGATGCAAAGGATCGTCCATATTCACGAATACATAGACATAATACGTTTCCTCTTTCTGCTTTATCCTACGTGTTTTGGCCTTGGTCCGGCATGGTCAATATTTTTATACTGAGTGTTTCGCACTCCAGGGACCTGGGCAAAGGGTCGTTATAACGGATTTTATGTACTAACGGATTATGTTGTAACCGGACCTGTAAACAGTTGTATAGACCACGTTTTGCCAGGGGATTTCAGATTTCTATTTACTAACGGAGTTTATGTAGTAACCGGACTCGTTATAATGAGGGAGGACCTGTAATTAGAAGAATATTTTAAAGCAAACTAGAGCTGTCTATCTCCCTGTTATGAGCACTTGTTTAAATTTGCAGTTTTCTTGCTAATCCTTTTTGTCCTCTAGATTTGTACATTGAGCTGGACTCTGTGCATATCAAAATGTCAACGCCCGTTTACAAGCGAACCCGTAAGTACCATTTTGTTTTTCCGCTCGACTGTATCAGCTTCATGAGTTCAAACTCAACTTACACAGAAATGATATGTCTGAATACTGTTATACAAATGTAGGTTCCAAGGTGGCCTCTACTCGGGGCGATGAAGGAATCCCTCAAGCCCTCCCGACAATTGGTAAGGACAATGGAATGCTTAAGCTGGTTTTTTAAACCCAACTTCAACCTTTAAACTTGTTTTGTATGCTGGGCAGAAACTAACAACCGATTCGCGACCCTCTCCGATAATGAACACCCTGGATCACCGATTTCCGAAGGTAAGGCTTTCCCAACCATTTTTATTTAATTCCCGTAGCTATGCAGAAGACATTACGTCAGTAACGTCTGGCGCTAGCCAGGGTCCACACAGCTTTAATTTGGAGTTTGTTTGTGTGTTTGTGTGTTTGTGTCACGCCTGGCGCTATCCCGTATCTGTCCCGTACCGTACCGTACCATCAAACACAGCTGGCCACATACAACTGGCCGCACTATTCAATTTTTTTTTATTTTTTTTTATTTTTTATATACCGTAAAGTACCGTTGATCCGCCCCCACGCCATGTCGCTTCCCAGCTGGGTTTTCGGCAGGGGGCGGGAATTAGATCAAGGCTGTCAAGTGCAGTACGATGTACAACAACGTAGAGGATCAGTCTCAATGTGCTGGATTGTGCACATTTTGATCCTGGATTGGCAAGTATTGTGTACAGCAGTGTATGCGTCGGTTCAACATCGTATTTCGTTGTATACGCCGAAGTCGCTTCACAAGGAGAAAATCGACAGGGGGCGGGAATTAGAGAGGGGGCGGATCAACGGTACTGTACGGTACATGTATATACTATGTGCACATCTATACAAAGTAATAGGGGTAATAAAAGAGACAAAGACAACAAAGGAGTAGTAGGTGCTACAAGAGCTGTGCTGGTCAGGCGCAGTGCACTCCTCCGACCATTTCGGTCTCGGAATCGACATGGACTGTGCGGGCCAAGGGGGCATACTATGAATGATAGACTTATGGGAGCATCTGAGAATGCAACAGAAATGAGAAAGAGAAGATCAGAAATTACACAAATGCAAATAATATAGATTGATCATGCTTCAGCTTACGTAGGTCCCTGAGAGAGGGTAGGGCTTTCAAACGCAAGATCATAACGTGAAGCAACTTGGAAGAATGAGTATGAATGCGAAGTGTATGGGGGAATGCATGTAGGGCGATAGTGCGGGTTCGAATCCCAGGGAATGCCTGAAAAAATAGGAAAATTGAAAAATTTATAACATCCCTATTCTTTTTTTGCCGTCATCAAGGCGGTAGCTGGTGTCGTAATACCCTCGACCGTACCTGTCCCGTATCTGTCCCATACCTGTCCCGTACCGTACCGTACAATCAAAGACGGCTAGCCACAATGCATATTCAAATAGGGCTTTCAAATACAAGATCATAACGTGAAGCAACTTGGAAGAATTAGGATGTATGCCAAGTGTATCGGGGGATGCATGCAGGGTGATAGTGCGGGTTCGACTCCCAGGTTATGTCTAAAAACAAAAAGTAGAAATTTATAAGAATTTATAACATCCCTATGCTTTTTTTGTCTAGGTCATCAAGGCAAAAAAGCATAGCGTAGGGCCCTGAGCTTCCAAGCTCTCTCGTTAAAGCTCACAAAATTAAACAGAGATGTTGGTGTGATTTCTCTGATTCAGGCCTAGATCAAGACGCCAAACAAGACGATTGCAATCCCAAGAAGCGACATGGGTCTGCAAAGTAAGTTACTACCTAACGATTTTCCTCGATTGATCATATGCTATGCAAAACACTTTTACAAATAATCTACGTGGAGATAAAAGTTTAATAATAGCTATGAAAAGTATGAATGCCGCAGACATCTTTTATTTAAACGATATTCTTTATTGAGTGCTGATAAGTTCCTTTTTTTGTGTTGTGCATTAGATTCGCTATCAACGATATGTCCGGGCGCAACCTATGCAACGTCAACCTGGGTTTTGTTGAACATGCCAACATGGTGTCCATGGAGGAGTTGATTGAAATGTTCGAACGCCATTCCGGCTACATGCCGCAAGTTTTAGTCGGAAAAACAAGCGGCATTGTTTATCGTTGCGGGGAAGCGAAGCTGATCGCACCATGCGACCGAGTTTTGGTCGTCCAAACTCATAGCTTCTTTTCCAACCCTGTGGAGAAGTACGAAGAGGGCCTCAAGCTGTCGACGGGACTCCACAACATCGAAGTCCGTGATACAATGTGCGGACGGTCTGCTTTTGCCGCAAATGACATTTCGGAGGGAGGATTCGTATGCGAGTATGTGGCGGCAAAGCCAGAACTTCTGCCCGAGGAAGTAATCAAGGCCAGGGAAGCAGAGTACGAAAGGCGTGGATTGGGCTGCTACATTCTGCAGTGCCGGCAAGCCTCCTCTCAGCTTGTGTTCGATGCGACGGAAACAACACTGGCTGAGAGCAGATTTATCAACCATGCCCCCAAACGTTCCCGCAACAACAATTTGCTCCTCATGAGCGTTATTGTGGCGAGAGGGCAGAAGAGGGTGGGTTTTGTGTCAAAAAGGAATATAAGGAAAGGAGAAGAGCTTTTCTTCGACTACGGTGTGCGGGACAAGGCATTGCCCTGGTTGTCGTCCCGAGCGTTAGCCTCAGAGAAAAGGCCAGCACGATCATCATCATCATCATCATCATCATCATCATCATCATCATCATCATCATCATCATCATCATCATCATCAGAGGACGACTCCCCTCCGAGGAAGGTCATCCGACTTCCTTCTTCTTCTTCTTCATCATCATCATCATCATCATCATCATCATCATCATCATCATCATCACCATCATCACCATCATCATCATCATCAGAGGATGACTTCACTCAGCCACCTTCCTGTCCACCTGTCAAGAGGAAACGAATTTCGTCGTCGTCGGACTCCGAAGTGGAGATTGTGGCTGTAAAGCCAGCTCAGCGTAGGACGACATATGTCTGTCCCCGATGCGGAAAGCAGTCCAACCGCATGGCCGAGCACCTCTTGAGGGCCCACAAGATCCAGTCCTTGACCGAAAGACAGGCAATCATTGACGGGTCCGAAAAGATTGAATCAACATCCCCACCTTCACCAACCCAACCACAACAACCTAACACAACAACACCCCTACCAGCATCCCAACCTCCTACGAGAAAAACAATGCACAAAACTACAACACAACACACGTCTGCCGGCAAGGGACTGCAGCGAATTTCTCGGCATGACATTGCGAAACAAACGCAAAAGAAGAAGGACTTGGGCCTGTCATGTATGCACCCTATTAGCGGAGACCTGGTGGACTTCAAAGACTGGCTGACTAGTCCCCTTGGGAAGAAGACCCTCTTTGCGCAGTCCACGCAAGCGATGTACCTGACAACAATCCGGAAGATAGCAATGTTCGTGGACAAGGATTGTGTATCTGTGGCCAATATCCTAAACACCAAGGCTTGCTCGAAATATTTGGAGGAGGTCAGAGCGTGCGGGGTCGGGCCATCAGGGCTAACGACGGCGTGCGATGCCCTGTTGGCCGCCCACAGTTTCCTTAAAGGTACCACGGACGACGAACCCCAGCTAAAAAATATAAAAAAATCAAAAAAAGACATTCAAGCTGTCCGTCTCGTCTACCTGAAGCTGAAGAAAACGCAGAGTTTGCTGCGCATGGAGGACGAGGCAGACAAGGACGCTGACCTCTCCTCCATCTCAGCCTTTCTCAAGAACCCCGAGGTAACGGAGGACATCGAGCGCTTGATGTCTGAACCTCCGACACCAGACGCACACCGACACCTTGTCCACTACCTCGCGGTGGCATTGGCGTTGGCCAATGGGCAGAGGCCGAGTGCAGTCGTCAACATGACCCATGATGAATATCAGAAAGGACTGAGAAAAATGGGTGACGACGGCAAACTGGTGGTGGGGGTGAGAAATCACAAGACCGGGGCTACCCACCTTGCGTTTGTGTGCGCAGACGGGATCCAGTTGCGTGCCATGATGCACTACAACGATCAGTATCGGAGACTGATGGCCGCCAGCAGCGACGCCTTTCTTCTCCTCCCGAGCGGTGGACAGATTGAGTCCAAGGACCATAGCAAAATGGTGACCTGGATCGGAAAGAAGTACGGACTCAAGATGTCCACTGCAACGGAGGGGAGGAAGCTCATAGAGTCAAAGGTCCACGTCAGCAGCGCCTTCTCTGAAGCTGATGCGAAGCGAGTCAGCAAGGCTTTGTGTCACTCAGAGAAGGTTGCTGCTGAGCACTACAAGAACGTTGGCGCAGCACAACAAGCCTCAGAAACGCACGCCCTTCTACAGAAAGTGATCTCACCGAGCCCTGCTGTCGCCATCAATACTTCGTCTCCCCTGTCATCTCCGATGTCCACAGCCCCAATTCCCACTTCCCTCCACGTGTCGTCCCAGCCTCAACTCACCTTCTCTTCACCACCTATCACCATCCCTGTCTCATCCGTCTTGTCCGCACCTGAACCCAAGTTGTCGTCATCATCCCCTATTACTAACGTGTCGTCCCGGCCTCAACTCACCTTCTCTTCACCACCTATCACCATCCCTGTCTCATCCGTCTTGTCCGCACCTGAACCCAAGTTGTCGTCATCATCCCCTATTACTATCCCTGTGTCATCCCTCTCGTCCGAGCCCACACCAACATTGGAAGAAGACCCTATTGCGCCGCCTGCAGCTGCTACTGTTCAAGGTTCACTGCTAGGATACCTTCATCCGAAGCCAGCAGCCAAAAAGGAGCGGAAAGCATTCACCGAACAGGAAGACGCTATCATCGTCAAACGATATTCCTTGAAAAACCAAAACGCACCTCCAAAAAAAACCTTTTTAGCTGTAAATTGTCCAGGACGAAACGCCCAGCAATTGGTAGATAGGTGGCGGACAATGAAGAAGCAGTCACCAAATTAGATACAGATAGTTGTTTTTATCAGCTTCTAATTACTTTATTTGATATTTTCTAACTCTTAGCGCCCGGATCACTTCCTAAAAATCTTCTTCTCACTCAATCATATATAAATATATTTTAGATGCAACGGTGAGAACCTCTACGTGGTTGCATCTAGGACCTTCTGCATTGCAGATGCCAATCTCACCAAAAACGTTAAAACCTTTTTGGCAATATCACAGGTTGCCAAATGCCTTCTGCCAAAATTTGACGCCTCAATTATCAAGATTAAGCGTCTTAAACGCACTAGGCTGCGTCTTGCGCACTAGGAGACGCACAATCTATTTAGTGAAGTATACAGTACAGACATATCACCCCCTAACTTGATCAATACTCTTCCCATTACATACATCTTTTGGATTCCAACTCAATGTGTTGTGTTGCAGGGCTGGACCAAGTTTGATTGATGTAGGCTTACACCTAACGGAAATAGGGTATGTTGTGAGTGGAGTGCTCAATACACCGTTGTTATGACCAAATTCAATACATTGCAGGGCCTGGACTGGCCATTGGTAAAGATACAGCGGGCAACGTTTGGATTGTCACTGAGGGTAGTACTGGCAAGCTGTGGACAAAGTCTGACCTGTATAGGGCTAAGAATAACAAAGTTAGGGTCCTGCAGTGAGGCAATTACCCAAGATCACAGTATTTAGTGCAGTATAGAGAACAGACATATCACCCCCTGACTTGATCAATACTCATCCGATTACATACATCTTTTGGATTTCAACTCAATGTGTTGTGTTGCAGGGCTGGACCAAGGTTGATTGATGTAGGCCTACAGATAACGGAAATAGGGTATGTTGTGAGTGGAGTGCTCAATACACCGTTATTATGACCAAATTCAATACATTGCAGGGCCTGGACTGGCCATTGGTAAAGATACAGCAGGCAACATTTGGATTGTCACTCGCAAGCTGTGGACAAAGTCTGACCTGTATAGGGCTAAGAATAGCAAAGTTAGGGTCCTGCAGTGAGGCAATTACCCAAGATCACAGTATTTAGTGCAGTATACAGTACAGACATATCACCCCATAACGTGATCAATACTCATCCGATTACAAACATAATTTGGATTCCACCTCACTATAAAGTGTTCCAGAGCTGGACCAAGTTTAATTGATGTATTCCTGCACATGGCGGAAATAGGGTATGTTGTGAATTGAGTACGCATTTCGCTGTTAGTGAGACAAGGGTGAATAGGGTTTAGGGTTTGGGTTTACAGTTTAAAGGTTTATAAGATTTAGGGTCAGGGGTTTAGGGTTTTAGGATTTACGGTTTTTTCGTGCGTCTCACCAAAATTTTATGGATTTCCAAAAACCATTGAAACACAATGCACAGGTTGCCAAATGCATTCTGACAAAATTTGACTCCTAAATTCGTGCGTCTCACCAAAATTTTATGAATTTCCAAAAACCATTGGAACACAATGGACAGGTTGCCAAATGTCTTCTGCCAAAATTTGACCCCGAAAATCTAAAGAATAAGGCTGCGTCTAAGACGCACTAGGCTGCGTCTTAGACGCACTAGGCTGCGTCTTAGACGCAAAATCTGCGTCTAAGACGCAGAGCTAGGCAACTTTTTCCAAATAGTCAAGAGAACCATGGCAACGTCGTAGACAGGTGCTCAAACCCTCATACCACCAAGTTTTAGGTGCAATACTCAAACATTCAGTTTTTGCCTAGCTGCGTCTTAGACGCGCCTAGCTGCGTCTAAGACGCGCCTAATGGTTAGTTAGGCAAATTTTTCAAAAACCATAGCAACGTAGTACGCTGACGCCCAAACCACTTTTGGTCCGGGTTTGAGTTCAATTATGGCAAAACTGACAATGCGTCTTTTGCGTCTAAGACGCAAAGAGCTAGGGTTAGGGTTAGGGTTAGGGTTAGGGTTAGGGTTAGGGTTAGGGTTAGGGTTAGGGTTAGGGTTAGGGTTAGGGTTAGGGTTAGGGTTAGGGTTAGGGTTAGGGTTAGGGTTAGGGTTAGGGTTAGGGTTAGGGTTAGGGTTAGGGTTAGGGTTAGGGTTAGGGTTAGGGTTAGGGTTAGGGTTAGGGTTAGGGTTAGGGTTAGGGTTAGGGTTAGGGTTAGGGTTAGGGTTAGGGTTAGGGTTAGGGTTAGGGTTAGGGTTAGGGTTAGGGTTAGGGTTAGGGTTAGGGTTAGGGTTAGGGTTAGGGTTAGGGTTAGGGTTAGGGTTAGGGTTAGGGTTAGGGTTAGGGTTAGGGTTAGGGTTAGGGTTAGGGTTAGGGTTAGGGTTAGGGTTAGGGTTAGGGTTAGGGTTAGGGTTAGGGTTAGGGTTAGGGTTAGGGTTAGGGTTAGGGTTAGGGTTAGGGTTAGGGTTAGGGTTAGGGTTAGGGTTAGGGTTAGGGTTAGGGTTAGGGTTAGGGTTAGGGTTAGGGTTAGGGTTAGGGTTAGGGTTAGGGTTAGGGTTAGGGTTAGGGTTAGGGTTAGGGTTAGGGTTAGGGTTAGGGTTAGGGTTAGGGTTAGGGTTAGGGTTAGGGTTAGGGTTAGGGTTAGGGTTAGGGTTAGGGTTAGGGTTAGGGTTAGGGTTAGGGTTAGGGTTAGGGTTAGGGTTAGGGTTAGGGTTAGGGTTAGGGTTAGGGTTAGGGTTAGGGTTAGGGTTAGGGTTAGGGTTAGGGTTAGGGTTAGGGTTAGGGTTAGGGTTAGGGTTAGGGTTAGGGTTAGGGTTAGGGTTAGGGTTAGGGTTAGGGTTAGGGTTAGGGTTAGGGTTAGGGTTAGGGTTAGGGTTAGGGTTAGGGTTAGGGTTAGGGTTAGGGTTAGGGTTAGGGTTAGGGTTAGGGTTAGGGTTAGGGTTAGGGTTAGGGTTAGGGTTAGGGTTAGGGTTAGGGTTAGGGTTAGGGTTAGGGTTAGGGTTAGGGTTAGGGTTAGGGTTAGGGTTAGGGTTAGGGTTAGGGTTAGGGTTAGGGTTAGGGTTAGGGTTAGGGTTAGGGTTAGGGTTAGGGTTAGGGTTAGGGTTAGGGTTAGGGTTAGGGTTAGGGTTAGGGTTAGGGTTAGGGTTAGGGTTAGGGTTAGGGTTAGGGTTAGGGTTAGGGTTAGGGTTAGGGTTAGGGTTAGGGTTAGGGTTAGGGTTAGGGTTAGGGTTAGGGTTAGGGTTAGGGTTAGGGTTAGGGTTAGGGTTAGGGTTAGGGTTAGGGTTAGGGTTAGGGTTAGGGTTAGGGTTAGGGTTAGGGTTAGGGTTAGGGTTAGGGTTAGGGTTAGGGTTAGGGTTAGGGTTAGGGTTAGGGTTAGGGTTAGGGTTAGGGTTAGGGTTAGGGTTAGGGTTAGGGTTAGGGTTAGGGTTAGGGTTAGGGTTAGGGTTAGGGTTAGGGTTAGGGTTAGGGTTAGGGTTAGGGTTAGGGTTAGGGTTAGGGTTAGGGTTAGGGTTAGGGTTAGGGTTAGGGTTAGGGTTAGGGTTAGGGTTAGGGTTAGGGTTAGGGTTAGGGTTAGGGTTAGGGTTAGGGTTAGGGTTAGGGTTAGGGTTAGGGTTAGGGTTAGGGTTAGGGTTAGGGTTAGGGTTAGGGTTAGGGTTAGGGTTAGGGTTAGGGTTAGGGTTAGGGTTAGGGTTAGGGTTAGGGTTAGGGTTAGGGTTAGGGTTAGGGTTAGGGTTAGGGTTAGGGTTAGGGTTAGGGTTAGGGTTAGGGTTAGGGTTAGGGTTAGGGTTAGGGTTAGGGTTAGGGTTAGGGTTAGGGTTAGGGTTAGGGTTAGGGTTAGGGTTAGGGTTAGGGTTAGGGTTAGGGTTAGGGTTAGGGTTAGGGTTAGGGTTAGGGTTAGGGTTAGGGTTAGGGTTAGGGTTAGGGTTAGGGTTAGGGTTAGGGTTAGGGTTAGGGTTAGGGTTAGGGTTAGGGTTAGGGTTAGGGTTAGGGTTAGGGTTAGGGTTAGGGTTAGGGTTAGGGTTAGGGTTAGGGTTAGGGTTAGGGTTAGGGTTAGGGTTAGGGTTAGGGTTAGGGTTAGGGTTAGGGTTAGGGTTAGGGTTAGGGTTAGGGTTAGGGTTAGGGTTAGGGTTAGGGTTAGGGTTAGGGTTAGGGTTAGGGTTAGGGTTAGGGTTAGGGTTAGGGTTAGGGTTAGGGTTAGGGTTAGGGTTAGGGTTAGGGTTAGGGTTAGGGTTAGGGTTAGGGTTAGGGTTAGGGTTAGGGTTAGGGTTAGGGTTAGGGTTAGGGTTAGGGTTAGGGTTAGGGTTAGGGTTAGGGTTAGGGTTAGGGTTAGGGTTAGGGTTAGGGTTAGGGTTAGGGTTAGGGTTAGGGTTAGGGTTAGGGTTAGGGTTAGGGTTAGGGTTAGGGTTAGGGTTAGGGTTAGGGTTAGGGTTAGGGTTAGGGTTAGGGTTAGGGTTAGGGTTAGGGTTAGGGTTAGGGTTAGGGTTAGGGTTAGGGTTAGGGTTAGGGTTAGGGTTAGGGTTAGGGTTAGGGTTAGGGTTAGGGTTAGGGTTAGGGTTAGGGTTAGGGTTAGGGTTAGGGTTAGGGTTAGGGTTAGGGTTAGGGTTAGGGTTAGGGTTAGGGTTAGGGTTAGGGTTAGGGTTAGGGTTAGGGTTAGGGTTAGGGTTAGGGTTAGGGTTAGGGTTAGGGTTAGGGTTAGGGTTAGGGTTAGGGTTAGGGTTAGGGTTAGGGTTAGGGTTAGGGTTAGGGTTAGGGTTAGGGTTAGGGTTAGGGTTAGGGTTAGGGTTAGGGTTAGGGTTAGGGTTAGGGTTAGGGTTAGGGTTAGGGTTAGGGTTAGGGTTAGGGTTAGGGTTAGGGTTAGGGTTAGGGTTAGGGTTAGGGTTAGGGTTAGGGTTAGGGTTAGGGTTAGGGTTAGGGTTAGGGTTAGGGTTAGGGTTAGGGTTAGGGTTAGGGTTAGGGTTAGGGTTAGGGTTAGGGTTAGGGTTAGGGTTAGGGTTAGGGTTAGGGTTAGGGTTAGGGTTAGGGTTAGGGTTAGGGTTAGGGTTAGGGTTAGGGTTAGGGTTAGGGTTAGGGTTAGGGTTAGGGTTAGGGTTAGGGTTAGGGTTAGGGTTAGGGTTAGGGTTAGGGTTAGGGTTAGGGTTAGGGTTAGGGTTAGGGTTAGGGTTAGGGTTAGGGTTAGGGTTAGGGTTAGGGTTAGGGTTAGGGTTAGGGTTAGGGTTAGGGTTAGGGTTAGGGTTAGGGTTAGGGTTAGGGTTAGGGTTAGGGTTAGGGTTAGGGTTAGGGTTAGGGTTAGGGTTAGGGTTAGGGTTAGGGTTAGGGTTAGGGTTAGGGTTAGGGTTAGGGTTA